TGTGCAGCAGAAGCAGAGGATTAGAGGCTGATCTGTTCAAGGATTGAATATTTCTGAAAACATTTATCTTTTTTAGAGCATCTGTTCGTTAAAATAGATCGTGGCACGTTCCTTAACACACAAATAATGTTTATGGTGCAGTTTTAATTATAAGTTTTGGTTGCATTTTGTTATTACAAAGAATAACTCTATTCCTCAGTATTAAATTGTAATGTTTATTACTAAGTAAAATATGTATAATTCTTCTAAAGAGGCTGTTTCTTCTCCTCACTAGAAGGAACTCGAGGATGGTTTGGGGTAATGAATGCATTTCTGCTGTAGCTGGAGCAGCAACACTTGGATCAATGTGTTTTTATCCCAGGGCTGCAGGGCAGGCTGAGCTGGTGCCGCAGGGCTGGTGGGACATCCCACCCTCTGTGTTGGCTTGGGCACATGGAGAGGGAGCCAGTGTGGGGCAGAACGGCACGGGAGTGGGGCAGGGCAGGATGGACAGGGCCATTTGTCCTAAATCTGACACCTACACGGACAAAAACACATTGTGGGCTGTAACAGGGATGGACCTGGGGCTTCTCCCTCCCTCCACATAGCATTTGTCAGAAAAAAAGCAGTATTAAGAATTCACATTAATAGCACTCCAAGTAAACCAGATTTTAATTCACTGAGAGTTGTACAAATGAATGTGTGTTACTATAATTGAAACGTGCCGTTACCAGCTCTATGTGTCTTATTCTTTGCTCAGGACTTACATAATTTTATTAATTGTGGGAGTGAATGGCAAGCAGGAGCAGGCAGTGATGTGGGAGCTGGGCTGTGTGGTTATTTCTGTAAATCTGGTAAATCTCCGAGTGTGAGGACGTGTTCAGGTGCGAGGAACCTGTCCGGCTCGGAGGGGATGTCTCTCAGCTGTGTGCTGTATAATTAACCGGTACATGAGGAGGGGGCTGGAATAAAACATGAGCACGGTAATGCAGCCTGGAGCTGGGGCTGTGGTGATCATTGCCATGCAGAGGACGCCTTGCTCAGAGCTGCTGCTGCCTCTGCAGCCTGCACAACATCTGGACCTTTAATTGACAAATCGCCTGGTGCTCTGCAGAGCAGGCATGCTAACTGGAGTCAACAATTTAGAATAAAAAATAATAGTGTGTTATTTACCTTGCAGTTAAATATTCATACTTTGTTATGCTTTGGATAACAGGAAATTACTGGGTTAAATTTTTATGAATAGTGACAGTGTGAATAAGATAAATTAAGTATTTAATGATGTTAATGGAGTTTTACATCGTGATCTGCTAACTGTGCAGCACAGGCTGGGGTGATGCAAAGGAGAATCCTCTGCTCAGAAGGGAACAGCTCTGGGGCTTCACTGGGAGCTGCAGGGCTGGCAGTGTGCTGGGGCTGCCCCCAGCCCTCTGGGGTGTCCACATTGGGTTGGGAATAAATGGGGGAACCAAGTGCCCAAAGTGAGGAAAACCCAGTGCTGGTGTAACCACCTGATGAAACAAACACCATTCCAGTCTTGCCATGGTGGGGAACAGTGTGGTGGGTTGGAGAAGGAAAGAAAAAGAAAAATATGGTCCCTTATATTGCCATAAACATCTGTGCTCTGATCTGTTAGAAATTTCTGTGTGTTGTAAATACTGGGTTGTTATATTTCCTCTTTTCCTCTTCAAGTATTTTCTGTGTGTCAATTAAATACAGAAGCGAGTAAGTTATGTTGTGGAGGTGATTGCTGGGTCACACGGTGCAGTCAACACCCTGTCACCCAAACCAAAAAACATTGAACTGAGTTTAAAAGTGAGAAGACATTTTGCATTTGGGAATGGAAAGGCATTTGTTTCCATTTTGTGCAGTGTTTAGCGTTGTTTGCTGGGAGGTGAGTCAATGACTTGAATTAATTATAATTACTGAAGAGACGTATACTGATTGAGCAAATAAAGTAGTAAGCTCATTCGTGCCAAGGCCATCTAATTAAATGCTAACTTTGGGTAAGCTAGATGTGCATGAAAGATTAATTTTAAGAGGTTTTTATGACTCCCACTAAATAATGATTCAGTAAAATCTTTGCATTATATCATTAGAACATCTAATCTTAAAGTGATATAACATTTAGTCACAGAACTCCATTGTGCAGGAAGAGGCAGTAAATTGTCAGTGTTGAGAATCAATCACTTTTCCCTCGGAAATGTTTATGGACTTTGTTTTAATTTTGTGCCTGGTGTGCAGTGAGGCAGAGCAGGAGTGAGGAGGGCGCCCTGCGCCCTGAGTGTGCCCCTCCTGTTGTGCCCCAGGGCAGGGCTGTGCATGGGGAGCTCCCCAGGGCCTGGGCCAGGGGCAGTGCCAGGGACCAAGGCACCCCTACCTGGTGCTGGAGGGAGGGGTGCATTCCCTCATGGACTTCCATCAAAATTCGATTTTCAATCTTAGAAAGACATCTTATGTTGGAAGGACTGATGAATTTTAAATAATTTTTTTTTTTTAATTTGTCGTACTGTAGGAGAGCACCAGGGAGCCTTAAAAATACTAGGAAATTTTTTTGTGATTTATTGTACATTTTCAGTGTATCCAGTTACTCCTCACTTTCTTAAAGGATTGGTGGGATATAACATTTCTAACAATAAAAGCTTAATGGAATCAGATTTGTGATTTCCTAGAAAATTAACGAGATATTTTGTCAATTTTATTCCAGACTTCATTTGTCAGAATATACAGTGTCCAGTGACAAGCTAAAAGAATTTTTTGACAAATTAACTGTGCCACAGGTGACAGATCAGGAAAATGTTAATTTAACAGCCCCTTTATGCTTCCCAGATTTATTGGAGGCTATTAAGGAAACTCCAAATGGTAAGGCCCCTGGCCCTGAATAGATTTTCCATTGAATTTTATACAGGATCTATTAATAAAGTTTGATGCTGCCTCTTTGAATATTGGTAATTGTCCTTTATCTTCTGGGTTTCCTCAGCATTTCCACTTGGAATGCAGTTTTTAGTTGGGAGCCAGAAGTGATTGTGGTTCCAGGAATGGCTGTGGTTGCGAGTGGTTCCTCCTGGAGAGGAGGCTGCAGGTCCCTGCAGAGCCAGGAGCTGTCCC